ATAAGTAAGCATGATAACTTTGAGACCAAGTTTGTTCTCAATAAAAACATAACACCAATACTTTGATTCAAACAAAGACAATACATATCTATAAACTATTGAAACAAGATTAAGATTTATATTTTTCTGAAAATGTTTCAACATTGTGAAAAAAGTATCACAATACAGGATGTTTATCTTTTTAATATACTTTATAAGTGTACTATGTATATAGAATCAGTAGTTTCTTGTAATTAAAAAAACATACCTAAACATACTGAACACAAATGACATTTAACATTTCATTTATTGCAAACTGTGTATAAACAAAATTTGCAAACAATAAAACTATATTATTCTATACATATACATACATACACACATATACACAGACATACACATACATATATATACATATATACATACACATATACATATACATATATACATACATATACATATACATATACATATATATACATACACATACATATAGAAGTTTAAAGATGGCAGTATAACAATTGGTTTAGTTCTTATATATTCGTATTCTTTTTATGATCTAGCAAACATGTTTAATGGCTTTTATTTAACAATCTATTAAACAGTATAACTCCAAAAACTATAGTAACTTAAAAAAGTTTCATGTATATGTGAAAAAAGATCTAAATAGTAGGCTAAAGATTATATAAAACCACGTAAAAACATGTGAGAAAAGGTCCCAGTTTTAACTCATGTTATAATTCTTCTAACATAAAAAATGAAAAAACAAAAAAACAAGACACAAAAAAAACAAAAACAACAACAGTTACTAATCTTTGGGAAAAAAAAACTATCAAAAAATATACAAAAATTCATGAAATTGTGTATTTACTATATTTAAATTACAATAAAAAGTGTCTTTATAAAAATGATATTTCTCACACTTTTTTACACACCAAAAATCATGAAGTTGTGTATTAACTGTTAGAAGTGGCCTGCTGTAAATGATTTTTCCACAGGGACTTGATTTTTCTGTTAATGTATTTCTTATATGTTTCACTTTTATTTATATTGTTTTCATCTATTAGACGTTATTCCATGAAATATTAAGCCACTTATGATAGTCTTGATAGGGCACAAAGATCACATTTCCACTGCTGCTTTTATAGAAAAATTTTCCATTTTTTGACCAGGCATTTATAACCTTTGTTGGATCACTCTTTTTGATTACCATCAAAACATGCATATTAACACGCGTTAAATCTTCACTTACAAATATATTGCTTCCTTTTAAATACTTCCTATTTCTCAGTAGTTTATCTCTTTTCATTCTTGATACAAATCTCACACTAATTTGCCTATGACTAATAACTTCTTCATTTTCCGTTTTCTTCAATTTTTCGGCCATAGTTTCACTGCTTTCCTTTTTCTTTTTTGTTTCATCTTTTTTCATATCATTCATTTTGCTTCCAATGCCTTCATTTATACGTGTATGATTTTCATATACAGTCCTTTCTATACTTTTCCCAGCATAATTTATTGATTCATTTTCATCATCTACTGAAATTATTCTATGCCTATTTTGATTGGTGGGTTTCCCAATTCGATGTGCTATATCTATGTCACTTACCATAAGATTTAAGCCAGGAATTTTGCCATTTAATTTCTCAACCACTTTTTGTGCTGTTTGTTCAGCTGTTTCACCATTTGTTTTCTGGGATACCATTTATTCGTACATTATTTATACGGCTATATTGAGCATGTTCGTTTTGTTGTTCTGCATGGGACCTTGCTACTCTCTCAATCATATTAATCTTATCTGTTTGAACACTTCCTTTGGCTTCAATTTTCTTTTTCAAGTTCAGCAATTTGGGATTTTAGATAAGCATTTTCTTTCAAATAATCAAACATTTGTGATTCCATAACTTCTAATTTCTTTTCAATGGACGAACATATTTCAGAACGCATCTCTAAGATGACATCTTTTATCATATTTTTTAAGAAATTGTCATCTTTTGTAATAACATTTTCCAATTTTTGGTTAATATGCTTAAGTTGTACTGCAATATCACCTTGTTTACTTTCAGCCATTTTTTCAATAGTTTCATCTATAGATTCTTCGAATGTATTTGTCTTCTGTTTTTTTAGTATTTAAACTTGTATCTAAGTCACTTATACTACTGTTGCTTGATCTGTTTCTTACTCTTTTACTCTGATTTTTCTTTCCCATTTCAAAAACAAATTAATGGTAAGACAAACTCCTGTGGTATTAGTATTTACACATGGTCAGTTTATAACATCTATTGTGCCTTTGTTCACAGGTCAACGCTATACAGTGTTATCTCATTTTATATCTGCTTATATATAATTCAATATTGCTCTCTGTCTACATTTGTGTGTAAATTATGGATCCATACTTGTAAAATAACTATGCTACAAAGTCATTTTCATCTTTTTTTTGAAATCAGCAAAAGACTAAAATGGTTTACCGACAATTGTTTAATATCCTCCTCAATTTTCTTTTCAAGAAGTCCAAATAATACACAAATAAATATTGTCCTTGACTTAGTAAAACCCGTTTCTGTGTTATGTGTTCTAGTTTCTATGGGTTTTTTTTCTCGATCATATTTGTCGCAAATTAATAAAATTACGATTTAAAAACGGGTTTATCTGTTGTTGCTTTTTATTATTATTATAGTGTACAACATTCTCACACCAAAACAACAACAGGTGTCTGATACCGACTGTGACATTCATACAAGCTTAACTTAATAGAACGTCTGTAAAAAATTTCATATTATTGAAGACAACAGAGTAGTAGAACCAATGGCTATATACGGATAATCTTAATTTCTGGAATATGTGTTGTTTTTCCTTCTCACTATATCTGTTGAACACACACCGAGACAGAATGTATAGGCGCTGATATTTTTATATTAGGAAGTTTCACTTTGAGTTTAGAGGTTAACAAAGTAACTAGTAGCAGACGACAGAAAACAAAGAACTAAGCAAAGTTTAGCAACAAAATGTCAAATATGTTATTCCTCAGCATACATTTTATCTCAACTATAATATAAATTTATGTCATTCTTGTTTGTTTTGAATAAGGTCGGGTGATGCCAGAGACAAATTTGCTCTTCCATAACCCATAGGAATAGCGGTGATTTTGACTTCTGATTATCAAATCCTTGAAAAACATCCCAATATACCAGAAATGTCAAATGGTAAAAATCCCTGTACTACCAGTTTGATGAATATCCCTTAACTTTGGAAGGCTGTTATCGAACCGACCTAGCTTAGTCCAGAGAGGGGACAGACGGATGGTAAAAACTCAGCTTACTTCCATCGATATCCCTTATAGAGGGGCGTGGTTTCAATCATCTTGTGTCAAATCTTTTAAATATTAGATATACCCTACACACATCCTGTAGCCATTTTTTACTGTTCACTCAACCAAGTTTGGAAGCATTTTGTTTTAAGTTATTGTATGATTGACTACAGCATCTTCTGAGAGATATAAAAAAGACGTTTTTCATTGTTGATTCACGGACGTAAATTACAGTCTGTGGCTGCATATAAAACAAATACTTATGATTTTGTTCATTTATATAATTGTAAAAACTTAAAAAATATTTCCAGTAGAACATACATGTACATAACTAGTATGAGAAGAAAAAAATGTTATCATATAGAATAGTTGTTATTACAAGTGTTTCAAATATCAGACTAATTCATTCTTGATACTTTACAATAGTTAGCCTCAAATTCAATATTTAATGAAGTTTTCAGTTTCCATTTCTTATAAGAAATAATATAATTTCATTCCATTTCCATAAATAAATCTAAATATAAAAAAAATAGAAAATTTATCATTGAACAAAAACATTCATAAACAGTTTAACATACAACATATAATTAAACATCACTTTAATACAAATGTTTCCACATCACAACAATAATAAAGAACTACATGATGATGTAAATAAAATACAAGATAAAATCTGTACACCTAACAACTCCTTTCTTTTTCCACATATTTTGACTTATGATCTAGAATAAAGTTCTCAATGATGACTAACAAAATTGAGTGTAACAATTTGAGTTAATAAAGCACATATGAGCCGCGTCAGGACAAAACAAACATAATGGGTTTGCGACCAGCATGGATCCAGACCAGCCTGCGCATCCGGATCCATGCTGTTCACTTACATACTCTATAACAAGTAGAGAAACTGATAGCGAACAGCATGGATCCTGATCAGACTGCGCGGATGCGCAGGCTGGTCTGGATCCATGCTGGTCGCAAACCAATTATGTTGGTTTTGTCCTGACGCGGCTCATTTTATCTTACACTAAATATATCTAACTCATTGAATGCTGGTAGCATTTTGACTTCATTTACTGTTGAGTGTTCAATTATAAATATCTTTTTCATACTGAATATCTGTAAAATGATGATTTAGATTCCAGATTAAAAGCTGGGTATGTCCTTTTTAAATAATTCAGAAGTGTAAAGGTTAAAAACTTCAGTACAGACTGTTTTATAACATTCAGTTACAGACTCTTTTATAACATTCAGTTACAGACTCTTTTATAACATTCAGTTACAGACTCTTTTATAACATTCAGTTACAGACTCTTTTATAACATTCAGTTACAGACTCTTTTATAACATTCAGTTACAGACTCTTTTATAACATTCAGTTACAGACTCTTTTATAACATTCAGTGAGATGGAAAGGACTGAAATAAGATATTGCAACATGTACTTTTTGCAAAAAGGAAAGTGAAGATTATATTCTATTAACATATAACAATATGAAATGTAACATCTGCTTAAAATTGGACAATGTTTTTGATCTGTTATTACATTAATGATATTTAAATACTAACAATAAATACTAACAAGACCCTTCATTTTGTGATTTATATAGTTTATATACTTAATGTTTAGATCAGATAACAAGAATTCACTTTTGTCCCTTTAAATAAAGAAGTTAATATCCTAAGAAACAAAATCTGACTTAAACAGGAGTCTGTCTTATAAATGGTTCATCCTCTAGGTGTGTAATTAAATCACAGGTTGCTGTCATTGTCATAGTGACACTCTCAAAGGATAAAATCTCACAGCTCTGTGCATTAATGACATACATGAACATGCCTGAGTAGCAAAGGTAAGTTAATATAAAATTGAACCCTGTATAATTAATGACTTTCATTTGTTGCTGTTTTCATTTTGTACTCCGACATATATTTTATATATATTTTTGGGCATGTTCCGTTTCATTTTGACCACTTCCCATAACCAGGTCTAATTCCTCGTGAGTTTATAACGTCCAATAGAACACCATGTTTAAACTCATTCCACTCTCTCTTGAGTTCCTGCTGCATATACTCTTCTTGTATATCATCCTGTAAACAAATATTATATGACATCATAAATGACATCATCAAAATGAAAATTAAAATGACATCATCAAAATGAGATTTTAATTACATCATCAAAATAAGAGTTTAAATGACATCATTAAAATAAGAGTTTAAATGACATCATGAAAATAATTGTTTAAATGACATCATCAAAATGATAGATTAAATGACATCATCAAAATAAGAGTTTAAATGACATCATCAAATAGGAGTTTAAATGATATCATCAAAATGATAATTTAAAAACCATCATCAAAATAATAGTTCAAATGACATCATCAAAATATTAGGAATGGCATTATTAATGACATTTTAAAAAAAAATGAAATCATCAGAAACAGCATTATACAATACATCATCAATGACATCATAAATTAAACACTTTTCAAAAAAGTCTTCCCACCTTCACATTTCTTTAATTTGTACTTTTTTTCAGTTTAGTTTTTTTTTTTTTATAAGTTTGGCCCTTTTGCCAACATTTGATTTTTTTCAAAAAGGCAAGACCACCCTAAAATTTCTTAATACTTTTCATCGTTAGAATTTCCCACTGAGATAAACCCTATTTTTTAGTATGCCTTTATGTAACCTTGTCAACAAAGAAGGAAACAAAAAGATTGTTTAAAGATCCTGTATGTTGTAATGAAGGATGTAACAACACTTATGTGAAATTTTATGAATATGTATATAATTATTCTTCTATAACAATTTCCAAACATCCAAGAATATGTTAAATATGTACTGCAAATGTTTATACACATAAGAAATGATTAAAATATATGCATTCATTTCTTATTGAAAAATTTGGCTTAGACTGTATTGAAAAATCTAATAACCTCCATTTATTTACATGAAATAATACTCTGGTAATATCTTAAAAAATAATGCTTTTTGGAACTTTCAATATTGATAAATCTTCATTTGCACATCATATTTATGATATAAAACCATAAAGTTACAGGATCTTTGAATAAGGCAAGCATTATTACCTTTGTAAGGTCACCAAATGTTCTGTTATTTGACTGTTTGAAAAGTTGAATAGTCACCTCATCTAAATCTGTGAAATTAACATTTAAGTTTGTTTATAAAATACATCATATTTGACTTTTATCAACTGTTGATTTTCTAAATTTCTTTATCAGAGCTTTACTAAAATTACAATTTACACATTGTCTATCTTAATTACATATTTTATATAAGCAAATTAAAAGCATTTACAATGATTCTTTGTTGTACTTCTCATATATAAAATTTGTTAATTATCTAGTTCAAATGCTATAATTTACCTTTGATTTTTTCAGGTCTTATAACACCAAGTGTCATTTCTGTTGCCGTGACAACAGAACATGTGATCTGTTCATTTAGTAGAACTGAGAGTTCAGCAAATGATTCTGATGCTCCCAATCTTCCCATTACAACTTGTTTTGTTCTTTTCTCCTAAATAACATAAAATTGTCATTTTGATAAAATCAGAAATATTTCAAGAAATGCTTATACTTTTCATATAACTTACTAGTATATTTGACAAAACCTTGAATTTTCCATTATGCCTCAGCACTGGTGTCATATCTCAAGATAGACAGAAGTAAAATGAAACCAAACTTATACAATATGTACCATAAGATATATACAATTGAAAACAAGAGCACCGCTAGGCGGAGCATTATATGCCCGAAAGTGTTTTTTTTTTATATTAAGGATGAAGCATTTGTAAGACATTACATAAATTAAATAAAGTATTACCTCCTTCCAATAGCAATCCTCCTATAAAGTTTGAATATTGTGGGCCAAATAGAAATTAAGTTATGCTCCGGAAACTGTTTTCAGTTTTAAAGTAATAGTGACCTTGACCTTTAACCTTGTGACCCCAAAATCAATAGGGGTATTTCACCCAATATGGACAATCATCCTATGATATTTGAATATTGTAAGCCAAATAGACCTTAAGTTATGCTCCGAAAACTGTTCTCAGTTTTATAATAATAGTGACCTTGACCTTTGACCGTGTGACCACAAAATCAATAGGGGTTTCCTTCCCAATATGGACAATCATCCTATGAAGTTTGAATATTGTGGGCCAAATGGAACTTAAGTTATGCTCCGGAAACTGTTTTCAGTTTTAAGGTAATAGTGACTTTGACCTTTGACCTTGTGACCCCAAAATCAATAGGGGTCTCCTACCCAATATGGACATTCAGCCTATGAAGTTTGAACACTGTGGGCCACATGGAACTTAAGTTATGCTCCGGAAACTGTTTTCAATTTTAAGGTAATAGTGACCTTGACCTTTCACCTTGGGACCCCAAAATCAATAGGAGTCTTCTACCCAATATGGACAATCATCCTATGAAGTTTGAATGTTGTGGGCCACATGAAACTTAAGTTATGCTCCGGAAACTGTTTTCAGTTATAAGGTGATAGTGACCTTGACCTTTGACCTTGTGACCCCAAAATCAATAGGGGTCTTCTACCCAATATGGGCAATCATCCTATGAAGTTTGAATGTTATGGGCCAAATGGAACTTAAGTTATGCTCCGGAAACCAAATTGCTAACGGACGGACGGACAGACAGACGGACGGACAGACGGACGGACGGACGCCAGGGGGTATTACATAATATGCCAGAAATTCTTTCGGGCATATAAAAAGAAGTCTCTACTAGGCTGCCTGCATGATTGAGTCTGAAGTAAAGCACAAAGGAGAGACTTTGTTCTACCTTCATCAAAACAGCTGGAAAGTTATCATACAATCTTTACAGTGTGAGTGTTATGTAAAATACAATAATTTTTCAAAAATTGAAAATGTCATATAGAAAACCTTTATTCAAACAGAATATAAAGAAAATAATATATCTGCATTAAAACACTTAATATAGTACTATATGTCAACTTTGATGTAATTGAACAAAAATACAACAGAGGAGGTGAATCAAACACACTTGGGTATTAGAACTATTGAATAACATGGTCCATTCACACTTGATGTAAACACAGAATGATTTTGCTCAAAACATAACAATATTCATATGTTTGTTATCTATCAAAGCAAAGAATAGAAGAAATCCAACAAACTTCCGACAAAGGCAATTAATGTGAAATTAGAAGGAACCATGTTTGATACCATCTTGCTATGATCTTTTGTGTTATAATACAACTGAGCATGAATTGGTACAACAAGAATCAATTTAACCTATGACAAGCTACCACAAATATTATTAGCCCAATACAAAGATAAACTACAAACAGTTAAGTGTTAAAAATGGTTCAATGTAAAGTCCAAGTCCATGCAAGAATGGCAGAAATGTTTCTCACTTTCGGGTCAAAGTATAACACACTTCACATCCAATGTCTCAATTCATTATCAAAATAATGCTTAATTTTGAAATAATTCCAGCACATCAATCAGAGTTCAACAAAAACAGTAAAAGAAATTAAGTTGTATACAGTTTATACACAAAGAGAATTATACAAACCTTTTTGCCACCAGGCACATACATGACAACAAGGATTTGTTTCATAATAATTGCCTCCCCTGACTTCACTATGGCAACATAAGGGGCCTTGTATTCCTCACTGGCCAGTACTGGAAAAACAGCAGCTTTCATAATTTCCAGGATAGTGTATGTCTGTGTATATCTGTGCATGTCTTTAGTGTGCATTAACTTGTGTACATGTATATAATGTGCAGTTACAAGTGTGCAACAATGTGTTGGTGCAAATACTGACTCAAGTGTAGCAATGTGTTTGTGCTATTACTCTCAAGTGTAGCAATGTGTTTGTGCCATTACTCTCAAGTGTAGCAATGTGTTTGTGACATTACTCTCAAGTGTAGCAATGTGTTTGTGCTATTACTCTCAAGTGTAGCAATGTGTTTGTGCTATTACTCTCAAGTGTAGCAATGCGTTTGTGACATTACTCTCAAGTGTAGCAATGCGTTTGTGACATTACTCTCAAGTGTAGCAATGTGTTTGTGCTATTACTCTCAAGTGTAACAATGTGTTTGTGCTATTACTCTCAAGTGTAGCAATGTGTTTGTGCTATTACTCTCAAGTGTAGCAATGTGTTTGTGACATTACTCTCAAGTGTAGCAATGTGTTTGTGCTATTACTCTCAAGTGTAGCAATGTGTTTGTGACATTACTCTCAAGTGTAGCAATGTGTTTGTGCTATTACTCTCAAGTGTAGCAATGTGTTTGTGCTATTACTCTCAAGTGTAGCAATGTGTTTGTGACATTACTCTCAAGTGTAGCAATGTGTTTGTGACATTACTCTCAAGTGTAGCAATGTGTTTGTGCTATTACTCTCAAGTGTAACAATGTGTTTGTGCCATTACACCAGTCTGTAATGATTTGTTTGTGCTTATACACCATTGCCTAGTGTGAAACGATGTGTGTGCTAATGTCGTAAATCCAGAGTGTCACAATGTGTTCATGCTGTTACTCCAGTATGTGACAATGTATTTTGTGCTGTAAATCCAGTGTGTGCTGTTAAATGTTCTCCAGTATGGAAGAATTTGTTAATGCTGTTACTCAAATATGTGACAGTGTATTTATGCTGGAACTCCAAAGTGTAATAATATGTGTTGTAAAATTATGTGTGTAACAATGTGATTGTGCTGTTACTCAAGGGTGGGACAATGTGTTTATGCTGTTACTCCAGTGTGGAACATTGTGTTTGTACTGTAGTGTTGAAGAATGTGTTTATGCTACTACTCAAGTGTGGAACAATTTGTTTGTGTTGTTTCTCAACTGTTTAACAATGTGCTGTTTGTGCTGCTACACAAGTGTAAAAAAGAAAAAAAATGACCTTGCCAAAATCTAAAATGCTGCTTTTTTCCAAAATGTTTCATTTGAAAACACTTTATCAAATGAAATAACAAACAAGTACCACAAACCTGAGATAAGAAATGCCTATCTTCTGAAGGAATCTCCTTGTCAAAAAACTACTATTAGATAAATATGCAAGTGCAATTTGCATATTTGACTCCAACAGTAAGTAAGTAATTATGAAAGGCCAACAGAAGACCAAAACATGCCTAATCAAACATTGCAAAATATTATGTAAATGAGATAGGAATGATATAAAACAATGTAAGTTTATATTTCACTGTAAAAAATTATACCACAGCATACAAAGAAGCAAAAACCGTTTAGAGAAAAAAAAGGAGTAAATCAAACCCACAAAATGCCCTGGAACGTATAGACATCATGAAGGAAAAGCTTGCATTAATTCCAAATCCATAAAAAGAATATTATGCAAAAATCAACTAAGATCAGAACCAAGTGAATTCATTGCCAGTGAAATAACATGTGAATTTGAGAACACATAGCATAATATGTCTGTGATTCCCCACATTCTCTGTGTGACTGGTGTGTTTATAAAAGTAGTTATTTTAAAACATATAAATTATCAGTGCATTACCCTTTTGCCATTTGAAAGTGTGTGCATGACCTCCACCATTCGTAGTATATGGCATTCTCCAGTCTTTATAAACCCTATAAATGGTGCCATATAACCTTCACTCACAATCACTGTAATATGAATATACAATATATAACATATAAATGGTGCCATATAACCTACACTCACAATCACTGTAATATGAATATACAATATATTACATATAAATGGTGCCATATAACCTACACTCACAACCACTGTAACATGAATATCCATTAAATTACATATAAATGGTGCCATATAACATGCACTCACAATCTCACAATAATTGTTATATAAATATACAATGTATAACACTTAAATAGAGCCATATAACCCTCACCCACAATAACTGAGTTATGTATATACAATATATAACATATAAATGGGGTCATATAACCTTCACTCACAATCACTGTAATATGAATATACATACATATATTTTTTTTTTTTTTTTGGGGGGGGGGGGGGGGGTTATGCCACATCGACACAGTATAGGTCATATCGCGACATTCCAGCTTTACTGGTGGAGGAAGACCTAAGGTGCCCTTCCGTGCATTATTCATTATTTCAGGCACGAACATATACAATATATAACATATTAATGGTGCCATATAACATACACTCACAATCATTGTTATATAAAAATACAATGTATAACATTTAAATAGCCATATAACCCTTACTCATAATAACCGTTATATAAAATATGCAATGTAAATCATATAAATAGTCATGTGACCATCACTCATTATCACTGCCATATAGATACATTTTATAACATCTTAACAGTGCCATATAACCCTCAATCACAAATACTGTAATATCAATATGCAATGTAAATCATATAACTGGTGCCATATAACCTTCACTCACTGTTATATAAATATACAATGTATAACATTCAAATAGAGCCATATAACCAATCACTTACAATCACTGTAATATAAACAAACACTTCCTTTCAATGTAGTATCAATACACACTATAATTATGAAATATATAAATGGTGCCATATAACCCATCACAATTACTGTAACATGTATACAGTGTATAAAACATAAATAGTGTCTATAATCACAATCACTGTAATATTTTTACAATATATAATATGTTTAACTATGCCATCTTGAGCTAAAACAATAATAATAATAATTTTAATTAAGTTTATATCAAAGTGATGATTGTAACCTATTTTCTTATTAAAAATTAGGGATGGCAACGAATACAAAAATCAATACTCGAGTACTCGGTCATTTTTCCGATCGAGTACTCGGTTACTTCGATGATTTCCAGTGATCTTCAAAGTTTTCTCACAATATCAACACCATCCGCATGCTACTTTCGTTTTCTAATTAAATTCATAGAATTCGAAACTATAAATAGGACTGCACGGGAGTCAAATTTAATAAAATTAATTCAATAACATTATATTTTACAACATTTTAATTAATGCAATATCAAGTTTAAAACATGTATAAACAGTTCATATATCTTCTTTACTTGAAATAATATAGACTGATCGGCGGCAACAAAAGGTTAAAAGGGGTCTAAATACTAGTAAACTTTTTTCTTACATTCATAATAGCAATCGACCCTTTGTTGTTTTCAAAACAGTTACATCCGCTACAAGCTGTTACACAATTAAAGGCAATTAAATATCATAAGAGGCTGGATGACATAAGCGACACAGGTGCGCGTGTCAAACTGTTGATCGCCTCGTTAAATTTATGATATCTTTTCGCACCTCTGCAAGGATGTTTTGATTGCATTTAACGGGTATTTATGAAGATACATGCCCATCTCCGAATTTCTGAACTAACACACCAATCTTTCTAAATCGTAAAAAATAGAAATTATATATTTTTTCCGAGTAATCGAATATCAATTTTGTTAACCGATATTCGGACGTTCGATCGAGTACTCGGTTAACGGGTTACTCGTTGCCATCCCTATTAAAAATATTAAGAAACATATAATAATATGTCATGCATCTTGATGATGAGATTTTACAATTGTTCATCAATTACATTGTTTTACACAAGCAAAAAGATGGTTATTTTGGTTCTTTTCTTAAGTTTAGTTGATTGGTCTTTGAATACATAGCTCTTTCCTATTATTATTGTTATGATATTTACCTGTATAAGATGGGTAGATATTTACCTGTATTAGGTGGGCAGATATTTACCTGTATTAGGTGGGCAGATATATTAACCTGTATTAGGTGGGTAATTATTTACCTGTATTAGGTGGGCAGATATATTAACCTGTATTAGGTGGGTAGATATATTAACCTGTATTAGGTGGGTAGATATATTAACCTGTATTAGGTGGGTAGATATATTAACCTGTATTAGGTGGGCAGATATATAAACCTGTATTAGGTGGGTAATTATTTACCTGTATTAGGTGGGCAGATATATTAACCTGTATTAGGTGGGTAATTATTTACCTGTATTAGGTGGGCAGATATATTAACCTGTATTAGGTGGGTAGATATTTACCTGTATTAGGTGGGCAGATATATTAACCTGTATTAGGTGGGCAGATATATTAACCTGTATTAGGTGGGTAGATATTTACCTGTATTAGGTGGGTAGCTAATCCATTCAATAAGTTCTGCCACTTGAAGTAGTGGTTGTCTTGGCCATAGTTTATACTGACCACATGATAACAACAAGTTTACCTTCTCTGTATGTTCTCTCTGTTTTATTTGCTGAAAACAAATCAATGTTAACATTATACAATATAAATTTCAAGATTTACATTATCAAATACAATATAGTAAATTATCCTGACAAAAGTGGGTAAACATTGTTAATATAGTTAATGAGAACATATAGAATTTGAGAACATCTAAATACAAAGGGTATATAGAAGTTGAGAAACATTTTAACAGAGATTGAGATAAGAAAACTTAGGACATAGAAAAATTGAGGACATATGGAAATTGGAGACATATTGAATTCAGGTCATTAGAAGATTGAGGACATGTTAAAATAGGAGGATATACTGAGGTTGTGAATATATAGTGAATGAGGACTTATAGAATTTAAGAACATATAAATGCTAAGGATATATAGAAGTTGACTAACATTTTTATAGATGTTGAAGACATATTGACATTGAGGACATATTGAATTTCAGGACATAGGAAAATTGAGGACCTATGAAAATTAGGACATATGGAAAATGAGGACATAATTATGGGAATTATGGACTTATGAAAATTGAGGACATTATAAAAGTTATGGACATTACAAAAGTTGGGGACATACAAAAGTTACAATATCTTTATATGTATTTTTTCTATAGTTTTAAATTATATACATGATGAAAATGTACAAATATAGTAATTTAGATATTGTAATAGCTAACCTCTATTACTCTAGCATAATCTGCAGAAGGAATTTTGAGAAATTCACAATTATTGTCTGCTGTTACCACACTGTAAACCCTGGAAAATAATAAAAGAAATGATAAAATGCTGCTTATCCAAGCCTAAAGTGGCATCTTTACTTAAGAAAAATCAGATTTTGTTCATGTCTTTGGTAAAATTATTATTAGCAATTATCTAAAAGGGAAGTTAACATAATGAACTTTTTGTTTGTTTGTTTATCTGGTTAATAACATTCTTTGGTCATATCTCTGTCATCAGTCCATTTGACCAGCTTCCTGATATAACTTATCAGTACCGTGTAATTTCTAATTTCTTTGTGACTGACCAAACTACTATTCTAACATGATTTCTGAACCTGCTGTTAGAAACAATGACCATTAGCGTCAATTTTCCAGATTAATTGTCACAAATAAGTTTCACCTTGCCGGAGGATCAAGCCATTACAAATCTGATGCTCTCCCTATTTAGTTGAGCCAGCAGAACACATATGTAATTTAAAAACATCACTTGGAAAATTAAGACACACATCACAAAAGCAGCTCAAGTACTAACACTATCAAGTCTATGTAAATCTCACACAAATGTGATCAGCTTCATAAAGTATAATTAATGTAGACATTATTTTTCTGTATCAAAATCTGGGTCAACTTTTAAAACATTCATCATATAAATTAAAATTTACTTACTTTGAGCTAGCCCCTCTTCCATCTACTTTACGAAGTGTTCCAAAACATTGACCAACTTTTATCTACAACAAATAAAATAAAATTTTAGGATATTTGAATATTTTGCCACAATATACAAGTAAATACAGTGCAAGTCTAATTGTCAACTAGAACTGTGTCCAAAGGACACGAATGCCCCCACTGACAACATATAATGGTATATAGTGAAAAAATCAACAAAGGGCCATAATTCTGTTAAATTTAGTCGCAGCAAAAATTCCTTCCTTTACTGCCATCTACACATTAAGGTTGTTCATGCCTGAAAGTTTAAGCAAAATCTGCCATCCGGTTTAAGAGGAGTTGCATTCACAAAATTTCTATATTGTATATAGTGAAAAAAAAACAAAGGGCCATAATTCTGTTAAATTTGGTTGCAGCAAAAATTCCTTCCTTTACTTCCATCTACACATTAAGGTTGTTTATCCCTGAAAGTTTAAGCAAAATCTGTCATCAGGTTTAAGAGGAGTTGCATTTACAAGATTTCGGGAATTACAAACAGACGTACGGACGGACGGACAAGTGCAACGCTATATGCTCCCTACTTTGTGGGGGCATAAAAATTGTGGATTTATTTTGTGATAAGAACTGTCAGTAGAACTCTTTTCAGTGCTTAAAAGTAAAACAAGACCCTGGATAATGTAAGAATTATCAAGGAAATAATTTCAGTAACACAAGATTTTTATTATGTTCACCTATGTAGGGCCTTTAATTTTATTCCAAATCCATGCAAGAGTTATTCAGATTGAGGAAGCAGAAAGAAAACCTCACAATTGTTGGGGTTTGAACCCGGCTGTTACCTCTCTTTAACCTTGAAAGTCCAGTGTTCTACATAAAGTTATTTTAGTAGAAAAATACATCATCAAACAGATTACCTTTAGTTAATATATGATGCAATAGGTATTAGGCTTAATCATACTCTATTAACTATTTTTAAAGTATTTTTACATTCATGGTTTCTTGTTTTATTTTCATGTTCTAAAACAGCACAGATGTACTTATGAGGAACAATTCTGGTAAACTACGAATTCATATGGTTAACCTACTGATACCATGATTTTTCTCTTCCCTCTGTTTAACACAATAAATACAAATGACGAGTAAACATTTGCAATTAACACTTGATGCATTTGAAAACCTACCTGTGTGGTGGATGAATCAATTAAAAACCTACCTCTGTGGCACATAAACTAATTAAACACCTACCTCTGTGGCACATAAACTAATTAATCACCTACCTCTGTGGCATATAAACTAATTAAACACCTACCTCTTTGGCACATAAACTAATTAATCACCTACCCCTGTGGCACATAAACTAATTAATCACCTACCTCTGTGGCACATAAACTAATTAAACACCTACCTCTGTGGCACATAAACTAATTAAACACCTACCTCTGTGGCACATATACTAATTAAACACCTACCTCTGTGGCACATAAATCAATTAAATACCTACCTCTTTGGCACATAAACTAATTAAACACCTACCTCTGTGGCACATAAACTAATTAAACACCTACCTCTGTGGCACATAAACTTATTTAAAACCTACCTCTGTGGTTGATAAGTCACTTAATGGAGTAGGAGTACGGAGACTTTGGCCGTCATCTTCATTAAGCCATGGTTTTGTTACTGGGTTAACAATCCCGTTTAATACCAAATGTAACCCTGTATTTCCAAAAACTGTAGAAAGAGGAAAACAACATAACTATTCAAACTTGCATTAAAAAGTTTTAGATTCTAATTTGAAAATTTGATAAATAATGAAAACTTCAGACTACAGATTAGCCAAAATTATCTTTGTGAATAAAAGTAAGAAATATTTATTAATACTGTATCATACATTTGTGATCACTGTACAATTTAAAACATCAGGACAGGCAAACACTGGTACTCAAGAAAACTATCCTATCATATTCATATGTCTTCTAGTATTAGATATGCCTGACTGGACTGTATTATTTTTCTACTTCAGTTTTTTTGTAATACATGTATTAATACTATAATGAATACATGCAAATTTTTTCAGTTTTATTAATAGAGAGAGTTCTTATTTCAACTAATTGTACAATGCATTGAGATATTGTGCTGTTATGTGTATGAGCCATGTCTCCTCTCATACAAGGGAGATTCTGACCAAAAATGAAAATATTTCAGAATCTTAACTTTGGTACCTCAAAATATTTTGGCTTAAGTTTGACATGAGGTAGGATATTTTGTTCCTCAAATAATAGAATCATTCCAACAGTTAAATGATTGCAATGTGCCACTTGATATATTAATTATAAATGTTCTAATATTCATGGGACTCCAATGAAGATTTTTGGCATAACAGGAATTAGGAAATATCTTTTTAAAGATAAGGTTACCATTTCATGTAGGTCTAGATCAATGACTTGTGTGCTAATTTTCAGATCATTCCAAAAATCACCCCGTTTTTTTCTCCAAAATAATCATTTCTATTGTGCAATGTGCAAAATGGCCTAACATAGAAAAGCATTACTACGCTTTTCAATCAAATCATTAAGCTTAGAATTGTACAGAAAATCAATATTCAATTTAATTAGATTAGTGTATTACTTAATAAAATTTTGTAGATTTTTCCATATTATGTTTGTTTGTTTTGGGTTTTACGTCACATCGACACAGTATAGGTCATATCGTGACGTTCCAGCTTTACTGGTGGAGGAAGACCTCAGGTGCCCTTCCGTGCTCCATATTATGTGCTTCACTAATGATCTATGTAAGAATTTCAAATTTTATGCTATTAAGCTGTTTGACCGCAGCTTCCTAAACAGTGATCATCTTTATCACAAAATGATGTTTTGTTTTGTTAAGAAGTTTAAAAGTTTACTAGTAAATTCTGGATCTTTCCATGTTTCATGTACAGCAACTACGCACAATTCCTTTAATATATGTTCAGGAACATTTTCTTTGAAGAATGAAATTGTTCGTAAAATGTTGAAGATTTCATCATTGTCTGAGGCAGTTCTTTGAAATGGCCTGAAAAATATATATATATAAAAAAAATGTTTGTTCAAACTGTATAGGTGTTTCCTGTAACAAATTTTATTATCTTTATTAGGGATGTACTGTTAATACTGAAACACAGTTTTAAAGACACTATACATGCAATACAGCATAAGACAGAAACTATTTGGTTTACAGAAAAGTCAGAGCAATTTCTAACAGTATCTCTTTCATTTATTTCTATATAGTTCACATTTTGTAATTACACTCCTTATCATTTTAAATTTATGAGATGTTATATTTGTTTCTACACTAGAAATTCATCTTATTAGCATGAAACAATGATATTTGTTGTTGTCAATAATTATGTTTTCTTTGTTAAATAAAAGACATAACCTATAAAATCAAATATATTTGGTAAATTCTTGGACAGAATAACAATATTGTATCCTGGCCCAGTTATTAAGGTTAAATTTACTACCATGTTCAAACTCCATTATGGTAAACTTTTTCCTATAAATAAAGGGAAGTAACTCATGCTATCTTAAATACTATACTTACAGTTTTCTACTTAGTCTACGTAAAGTTTTAATGTTTTGTTCCCTGATTAAAGCAGGATTTTTGGTTTTTCTTTGTTTATGTAGAAGTGGCATGTAATCTCTTATGTCATGTGTTATTTTATCTATCGGCCATTCCTTCTTCACTTTCTTCTTGTCACTCTCCATTGTTTTACCTACAAAATCACAAAGTATTTGCAACAGTAATATAAATGTAAATCTTTAAAGTCATTAAAGTGACCATTCTCCTTCTTGTGATGTAAGCATAATTATATTCATTGTCAACAGTAATAACGAGTAGTGATCTTTTTTTTATCTTGAAACCAATGAATAACAAATAATAGATAAATAGAGAAACAAATAGTTTATATTAAGGTTACTAAAAATCAAGAAAGCGAGGGTTCAACATTTAACCCAACCACATCATTTGACACTTTTCCGAATAAAATTACTGATAGTCTATTTGACAAGACTTTAATTACAGTGGAACTTCACTAAAGGATCAATGGTTATATACTTCTGGTATTGACAATCTATCAACATGATGCACAAGCTGCCAGCATGGCTCAATAGGGAGAGCATCTAATTTGTTGTAATCCACGTGTAGCTGGTATGATTCTGGGGCAGGACGCTAAAAGCATATTGAAACACTCTAGAATCCATTCCTGGAACCAACCAGTACTAAGCAATGAGTATAAAGTGTCTTGCTGGTAAGATTCCTGGGATGGGGCAAAAATTCTCTGTGGCAATTAGTAAAAATAATTTATAGCCCGTACGAAAAAAACTCCTGTTTTACAACTGTAAAACGACTGAAAAACACCTGTTTTTGTAAAAATACAGGTCTTAGGGACCTGTGTTTGCTGAATTTGACATTTTGACTAAGAAATACAGGTGTATTTTAACAATTTTACAGGTGTATTTTTGAGACAAGACCTGTGTTTTAGATGTACACATGCAATTCTGATACTTAGAAAATATTGAGCTGATATTTTATGCTGAAAATAATCTAAGTCCAAAACTACAACTGTATTTTCAATGATACAGATGTACAATACACACTTAGAAAATCTTTTAGAGAAATTGTTATTTAAATACTTTAATATCTTTGATGCAATTGTACAGACTGCATGCACATTATTTATACACTTAGGATTTAATTTTTAACATTCATAATGTAAGCAACTTTGAACTAAGAGTGCTATCTAAATTTGAATATACATGTACATTGTACACTGTATATGATTATTTAGTTTTAAAATATATGAGATAGTTCACATAGGCCTGTCCTTGTTGTTCTTTTAAGTATAAAAAGAACAACAACAAAAACTATAACAACAACAAACTGGTACATGTTCTTATTCAAGACTCCAAATTTGCAGACATTATGAGTTATTCTTCACTCTGTAAAGTTAATTGTGTATGAAATAAACTCATACATTAAGCTCTCTCAATCTAGTTTGTAATATAAATGACCTGTTAAGTAGGATAAATAAACAAACACTGCCTCTACTACTCTACAATGATTTTACACAACTCACTGATTTTACACCTTGCACTGACCAGTCTGATAATGGTAACCACCTGTTTTCCACCATAAATTCTGCTACAGTCCAGACTCTTCCATTTGATTTTTTCTTGGGGGAAACAACTTTATAGATTTTAAATGAAGTCTGTTTAGAAGGAAATTGCAAAGTTATCTTTAAAAACTTATTATGAATTTGAAATTCTACATTACACTTTTTTTTCTCATATGTCTATATGATTGTGAAAGTAAAATGATGGGTGCTTTGATTTGTGGAATATCCCTGTTTAACATTATGCATGATGAATCAGTCCAGTTCTACAGTTGTAAAATTTGAAATCTGAGGTATTTGTGGAAATAGTGCTCATGTATCACAAAGGATCTTATTGATAATTAAGAAATTGTGGAGATATAAGCAATTTTCCAGGCAATATTTTGTATAAAATGTTTGGGTGTAAATTCTTAAACTTTTCAAGCTACAGTCTTGTTAATGAAAATGACAATATTCTGGATTATGGGATATGCTGGTTGCAAATGAAATTTGAATCTTGGACAAGAAGATGAAAACCAGAATCATAAAAAATCAGGTAATAACTTTTGGATACATTTATGCAAAAAACAAGTATTATTTCAGGTCTGCTAGCAATTATTTTTATCAACTTTATTCTCAAAAAAAATAATATTTTACATTCTATTTACCCATTTGGAAAATAATTTTTAAATGTAAAGTTTGTCACCAATAGCATTTAATTAGATACATGTACTACAATATTGACTGTTAACTCAGCGCAGCTTTATATTTTTGAATAAAGTCTTCAATAGATGATATTAAATACATTTATACTTAACTTCTAATTAATAGGTCATAATTTATTTTCATATCTTTTATAATGAACTATGAATTTTGTTCTTAAAGGTCACAGTACACCCCCCAGAGACGTTGATCTACATGAAACAAAGCAAAGGACTAAAACAGACATGGTAAAACAAAATTGTAGTTGAACTAATTAGAATAGTTTTGACAGAAATTCATGGTTAAACAAAATAAGTCTACCTTAATTCATAATTAAAGTTAAGTTACCAGTTTACCACTAATAGAAACAGCTCAGTAAATATCTTTTATCAGGCAATGCATTATGTAGGAAAATTAATACATGTATTCATTAATTGTCAAAACATAATTATATAGGTTGAAGTTAATTGGTACGTATTTAAAAAAATGAATTGGTCAGGCACTGAATATGTGCATTGATGACATTAGTACAAAATGCAAGCATTGAAAGTTACATGATTATCATTTAGTATTCATTTAATGATAAACTATTGATGTTTTATTTGATTCAGGTGAAGCTGCTTTAAACAGGATCTTAAATCACAATGACAGGGACCAGTTAAGAAGAGAAAACACTTGCAAAGGCTTTATTCCAAGTACCTATATATGTAGACATTAATTTGGCAAATACTGGCAATAAATTTTTACAAGAAAAAAAACTTTATTAGCATTTGTGAATTTTTCTTCAAATGAAAGGATATGCCTGCAGTGTTATTCATGACTTGGATTTTATTGATGCAGTATCAGTAGTGTAAGACTGTAACAGAATGTAATAAAATATAGTAATCCATTTAAGACAAAGTGAAAATTTCTTATATTTATCCCCATCTTTAGTGATAGTGATTCTAGTTCAGTGATATTTCTGCTCACCTTAGCACAGAGTGCCATTGTGAACTATTGTGATTGTATAATGTCTGCTATTTATACCTTAATCTTGTAAAAAGATATTTTCTCCTCAACCATTTCTTATTTTTAAAGATTGAGTAGCAACAAATGCACAAAATTTCTGACCAAAGTGTATATATCCCAATGAAAAAGATATTTGCACCAAACATGCCAAGTATGTTTGCATTTATGTGTGGTTTTCATCCCTTAAACAATAAGGGCACCTGTATTTTATTTTTAACCTGTAAAATTTTACGCCTGTATTTTTGAGCTGAACATTTTTTACACCTGTATTTTTAGACCTGTAAAATTTTACACCTGTATTTTAAACAGCTGTAAAACAGTACAACTGTATTTTCGACCCATAGAAAAAAACAGTTAATTTACATATTTCGTTCATAGTACAGGTGTAAAACAGGTGTATTTTTGAAAAAACAGGTGTAATTTGCTATATGTTTATCAAAACTGAAGAAAAATACAGCTGTAATTTTTAACAGAAAAACAGGTGTATTTTAGGCAAAATTACAGGAGTAAAATTTCGTACAGGAGTATATGTAATAGTTTATACTAATTATTTTAGATAGATTTGTTGCAATCTATAAGCTACTGAAATACTCTTGAATCTGTTCCTGGAACCAACCAGTATTAAGCAATAGTATGAAGTGTCTTGCTCAAGAAAACAATAGCTTGACCTGACAGTGTTTGAACCCATGTTGTCAGCAATACTTAGATTACTTTTTCGAAGTGTTAACCACTCCACCACTGCAAAGTGGCAATTGATCTCTGGCACTGAGTCTGATGGTCATTTGTCTCTTACTGCTGATTCCATCATGGGAGATTAGCAGATGGTCACTTGACGAGAGATTAGTTATAATACTGGGACCTGAACTAATACAGATATACACTTAACAATGGAATATGATGTTGTAATCTTTGTATTGCAAAACTAAAAGATTCAATGTGGTATTCATTGTTTCAACATGGCAAAATAGTTACCTGTTGCATTATGGGTTATGCTGAGCATAGAAGATTTTAGCTGCTCCCTGAAAAACAAAAAATAATGCAGAAATGATGAGTAAAAAGGGAGGTAATAAACAGTGCGGTATAAAAAAACATGCCAGATGCATTTAACAGGGTAGTTAATAATAATTATGTTTAAAAATAATAAATTGTTGAGGCATTAAAAATACTAAACAGTAGGGGTACATAATAATCATGAAGAATATAAACTGTAAACTTGACTGCATTAAAAATTGGTGGAAATATAAATATTTGCAAAAATTTATTATTTCCTAGCCAGCCCGCATAGCTCAATCGGTTAGAGCGCGAGACTTGTAATCTCGACATTGTGGGTTCGATTCCCGGGCTGGCCAACTAAAATTACTAAAATCAGTCTTTCGGATGAGACTTTAAATCGAGGTCCCGTGTATGGGTGCTTAAACACTCGGCACGCTAAAGAACCAGGAGAAGCTTCTGGAATTGGGGCATCTTTCTGTATCTGTAATTGCACTATCCTCCAAAAAAATAAAATGACTAATCTCTTCTGGAGGACTCGCCCATATGGGCGACCGGTGGCGAGTATAAATAAACGCAAATACACACACACATTATTTCTTCAAAGATTTATGATTATCCATGCATTTATTACTAGATATATATTCTTTAAAACATATATAGACATGAATACAACCGTTAAAAAAGAAGGTAAATTTAAAAAGAAAAATATTTGTTACATTTTTGTGAAAAATGTAAATAAAATGTATGTATACAGGTCATACCTTTGTTCAGAGTGTATAGGAAATCCTAATTTCTTTGGTTTCTGCACAAAAACTGATTTGTAACTCTGCATAAATGTTTCATGTGCCTCATCTGATGTCTGTGAGACGCCATTCCTGATTAATACATAAATATTATGTTAAAGATTAATTTTATACTGAAACCAGGCCCCATGTTCACAAAGAATCTGAAGATCAGGATCAGGATCAAATGATCCTAATGTTATATACACTACTTATGAAACTAAACTTGATCATATTATGCTAAAATTAAATTGTGCATACAATACATATATGAGACAAACTGAATCAAAGTACCCAGTAAGGTCAAGAATAATTCAAGATCAATATTTGGATCAACTGTTTAACATGTCTTGTATATCATGTAAAGTAATAATAAAGATGTTCTAAAATTTCTATACACAAGTCATGCTATTTCAATATCTGGAAAATGCCTTGATTCCTTCGGAAGCAATGAAAATAGCACTACATGAAAATTGCAGGCTTGACATAAATGAGCCTGTTCATGACAGATAATGTACAAGTGCAAAAAGTAAAAATCTTAACCAAAGTGTTTCGACACTCAGATGCAAAGAAAACTAATATAGCCTCCCAATTCTGCGAAAAGTCAAGCTAGGAGTGCAAGAATGTTTCTTACTGAACATCTTTGAGTCCATCTATACTACAGAGTTCTCTCAGCTTGTCATAATCAATTGCTGGTGGTTTCTCTAACTTTGGTACTGAAAAAAAATGAAAACAAAGATTATCATAAAATATATAAATTACACATTTATGAAGGAATATCAGTCACTTTGGTGTTAATTTCTTTTTTTAATTATTACGCGGAAAGTCGGAGCGGGGCCAAAGGCCCCGCGAGGGCTATAGAGCTCTTAGATAACATGTATGACGCGTATCAATTGAAATGAAATTAAATTAAAAGTAAATGAAAATTTCAAAAATATATAGATCCTATACCTAATGAGCTGTGAAAAAATCCTTAGTTAACTGGGCGCTGCCATTTTGAAATCCTTTTGAGCTAAATATAGATATCAGAGCGCTTTTAATGAGCGTCTACTTAATTCAGACTATTGCTAGCAGACGCATGCTAAATAACACTTCCGGTGAAAGAATGATGTACAAAATCAGAAAATAAACATTTATTTCATTCATAAGAACTATAGGAACGATGATAAATGTAAAAAGTTACTTTTAAATCCTTTTTGATAAATAAGCACATTAAAAATAACGTAAAAACAACAAATGTGAATTAGAGATTAACAGAAAATGGCGGACCCAAACGCCGGCGCATGCGCAGTGGTCCCTCTTGCGATGATAGGTTGAACACCACCAATTTATTCGTTTCTGTTTACAAAATACCTCCATTTACTTATTAACGAAATGCATGATAGATCTGGTTAACATGTACACTAAACATGTTATGCTTAATTAAATCATAAGAGCTTTCGGCGCCATAGGTAGCACCTAATTTCATATTAGATACAGCTTTGGTATCTTCACTGTTTTTCCAAGCGCAGAAATATTAGGAACAGTTCAATATAATACTGCAATAATGTATTGTTTTAAGCAATCACATTTGAAATGTATTTCTACTCATATTACCAAAGTCAAAAGTTAATGTTCACCATTTACAATGTAGAGATCTATATTTAACAGTTTAAGCTAGACTAATACGGGGAAGTCAAAGACCGGGCCCGCGAAGCGGGTCCGGGCTTTGGCTTGCCCGGCTATAGACTACACGTGTATATTTAAAAGAAAATCAAATAAAAAACAATTAAAAAATATATAGAATTCTATACCTATCAACGAAATTTTCAGTGTCAGTTCTAGTCGGGCACCGCCATTTACAATGTAACTCAATGATAATAGGCGGGGTATTCCGATAACGTACCAAATCTCAACTTTTCGGATGAATAATAATCGTCGAGTGTTCCGAGTGAAAACGGAAGCAGTGCGTGTAATACCGAATGACACCTTTAAAACGGAAGGAATGAAAGGAATATTTTAAATAACGACTTCCCCGTTCATAGGCTTTGCCTAATTTCATATTAATTTTTGATACTGTATATACGGTAGTCGAGGATAATTTACGTGGCTTTCTGCGCCATAGGTAGCGCCTTATTTCAAATTAATTACATTTAAATGATGTATTTCTAGCATCTGCACTATGAAATGGCCGGATAGCCATATCTCTTCTTTTCATAAGGGCCATTTTCTCCTTGTTTTGCCAATCAGCAGAGCACTTGTTCATCCGCCATATTGTTTACAGTAGTAACGAAAATATTGCACATATTAGTTTCGAATTTTCACTAATCGAGTATCTAAAGGTATCCTATATTAGCTATACGTTTTGTTTACTTTGTTATCAAAAAATTAACATTACATTAAATATTTCTGTTATTCTGACCATTTTTTTGTAGTTTCCTTAAATTCGATACTAAGGTTAAGCTATGTACAACAACAACAACAACACTCAACAACAACAACAATGGCAGAATTGCCGGATCTTGGAAAACATTGTAATTTTGAACATTGCAGGCAATTAGGTAATTATTCCCTAGAAGGCTATTGCTGGGTTTTACATCATGTCAATTGAAATATGTTCTTGAGATGATAATGATGAAATAAAACGTAATTTTTTGCTTAACTGTATGCATATTTGGATAATTATTTTCGGATATAATTTTCTACTTCTACATCATACTGCTTTAAAATCGTTTACGATCACTCTAAGCAGGCAAACATTGTATACATTAAAGAGAAAGAGACAGCCATAAGATACAAGGGAAACTCCCGAATCCGGGAACCAGACCTTAGCTCTTATTGAATAGACCAGCTCTTATTGAATAGACTGAAAAATCAATCACTACATGTTGTTAAAAACCATCCATATCTGGGAGTTGAACTAGCAGATACTCTGAAATACAACCTACACATCGATTCAATCACAGCAAAAGCTTCTAGTGTAACGTGTACCGAGCTTAAATACGTATTTATAATCAATATATTATATTAATAATTTTCCTCTAGGTTTCCTTACCTAAATGATTGAAGACCAATGATTTCAAAATGATTGGAATATAAATTAATCAACTTGAATTAAACAAATATTAGATAAACAATACACAATATTGATATATTTGTTTACAATCCCAAATCTTTCCTAGTCTCTATGCCTAGTCTCGAGCCTCTCAAACATATAACCCGTCTCAATGCCTACTTATTATACTATGCTTATATTTACTAAGTTTCTGTTTTATTTATTTCCAAACAATTATCCAACAAATATCCTGCAGCCCGGTTTACTTTCTACTATATAAAAATCTGTAATCCTCTCCGGTAGCGTTGCCCCCTAGAGAACACGGATCACAGATAATATATATAGCAGGTATAACTTCAAAGCTCCAAGATTAGATGTTGACACTCTGACTTCCACCAACAAAAACTAAAACTCACCTTGAATTCCTCTGCTTATATATGCTTTGCACAACAACGCCCTCTTACGGCTATTTATGATTGGCTATCAAACTTACAATACAATTATACAGAAACGAGCACCTGCTAATATTGTTATATAGATTACATAGTCCGCATTACAAATAATGTCAATTAAAACATTGTAGTAGAAACTATTGATACTTTACATTACAATGACATCAAAGAAATGCTCAAATCATTATTTACAAAAGAATATTTAGCAAACTAACCTTAAAAAAACATATAGTTCCTAGTGCAACGTATTGTTTACGTATGTTCACTTCACGTGCAAATGGCGTTCCTGTATTAAAGGGCCGTAACTCGTCATGATTGTTACACTAGTACTCTTGGTTTTATCAAACGGAACTTAAAACATTGCCCGACCACAGTAAAAGAAAGAGCTTATCAAACTTTGGTTCGACCTTAACTGGAATATGCGTCACCAATTTGGAATCCCCAACAACTTAATACATCAAAGAAACTTGAACAAATACAACTGAACACGGCAAGATTCGTCATGAATAAACCATTCAATTGTAATAACCCATCTAGCGTAACATCAATGCTACACGAACTAAAATGGCCAACACTTGAACAACGTCGTCAGTGTGCGAACTTAATTCTCATGTATAAAGTGTTTAATAACCTGGTGGCTGTACCAGTTGAATACCACCCACAACTATCAACAAGATACACAAACTCGGTAAAGTTCGTCACTTATCACTGCAGACTTAATGCGTACAAACATTCATTCTTTTCAAGAACTGTTACCTTATTGGAACAACCTACCAGCTAACATCACAACTGTGGACAACCTGGACAGTTTTAAAACTGCTGTCCAGTCTTACGTATTTGTGTAAATTATGA